GTTGCAGTGAGCGGAGATCATACACTGCACTCCAGCCTGGGCAACAGTGCAAGACTCCATCTCAAAAAAAAAAAAAAAAAAAGGAGTTGGTCTCAAAGGCCCCTTCTAACTGTGAAGTCTGTGATTCTGTAAGACCACCCAACCATAATCAGTTGAGCATGACTGGTGTGTGCATGTGTCCTTGACTTGACTCTTATCCCAGTGAGACAAATTATATGTAATCTTTACGTAGACATAGATCAGAGAGTTTAGTGTCAGTCCTCTGTGTAAATATCCTTCTATTCAAAGATCTCTTTAACAAATCATCAAATCCTTACTATAGCAAAATGAGATGAATCAGGGATGATTTCCAGAAAGCAGCAAAGCCGGCAGAACTATGAGTCATGTCCATTTAATGACTTTCATGCTTTCCGTGCCACACCACTTATTTCTCTTTCGTTACATTTGCTACAATGGAAACCTTATTAGCAAACTAAAACCATAAAACTTACCTTTTGTCATACCTAAAATTTGACGGTATATCTGATGCACTTTTTGTCAGTTGACAATTTGCACCACTCAGTACCTGTATTAGTCCGTTCTCACACTGCTGATAAAGACCTGCCTGAGACTGGGTAATCTAAAAAGAAAAAGAGGTTTAATGGACTCATGGTTCCACATGGCTGGGGAGGCCTCACAATCATGGTGGAAAGCAGAGGAGGAGCAAAGGCATGTCTTACATGAGGGCAGGCAATAGAAGCCTGCGCAGAGGGACTGCCCTTTATAAAACCATCAGATCTCGTGAGACTCACTCACTATCATGAGAATAGCAGGGAAAAAAACCCACCCCCATGATTCAATCACCTTCCACCAGGTCCCTCCTATGACACATGGGGATTACAGTAGCTACAATTTAAGATGAGATTTGGGTGGTGACACAGCCAAAGCATATTGATGCCCATTCCCAAAGGGACGTAGCAAAGCCCACAGCAAGCCAGGTGTTTGAGAGCAGGAGGCGCCTGTGGATTCCAACACTCCTCAACAAGTGCATCCCAGTGCCATTATGATGGGGAATTCATTAAGAACAGGAGTCCAATCTCAGAGTTACCATAGGATTGGATAGAACCACTCTTTTCAGGTTTATAAAGATATCCACCACCAATGGATGGTAATTTTTGGAAACCTGTTGTGAACACTATAGCTTTATAATGGATCTGTAGAAACATGGAATCCAAAAGATAGCCAATTCAAACATCCCACCAAGATAAGACTGTGAAGACTGTGGGCAAATTTTCTATATTTTACTGCATCTAATAGTTGAGAAAAGAAGCCATTTAAATCTTTTTGCATTATTCTCAAATTAATATTTATATAATATTTCACAGCTCTCAGAAGAAATAAAGTAATTTTCAAGATAAAAATTCTTTTTCCTCAAGTATGTGCCAGGAAGCAGGTGATGTTTTATAAAGGATAAGAAACTAAAGCAGAAAATTACATTGGATTTTCCTTTGTCACATACCAGGGGGTGTAAAGTGAGGCCTCAAGAATCTCATGCTATTTCTTAATTCCCTAAGCTCTAACCCCTTCAAGAAACAGAAAATATCTGAAAAAATTACAATATTTTCACTGATAGGTATAATGTATTAGAATTCTTATTAGAAATCCATTTGTATTAGCAGGTTCAATAAAGCAACTATAATTTTTCACCTTATTCTTCTGATCTGTAATGCTCTATATTGTCGTAATGGAAAATCCACTTCCCCTTGCCAACAATATGAGAATTTTTATGACTTTATGACGATTAAAATTCATTTAAAAATCCATTTTAGGTTTTTTTCCCCCCAAAGATACTGGATAGTAACACCCATCCTTCACAACAAGAAGCGTCAGGGCAGCCAATGTCATTAACACTGTTGACTGAGTTTCAGGCCGAATCTCAGAAGTCATACTGGAGAAAAGAACAGAAGGCATAGGTTGAAGCTGTGCATATAATCTTAACATGATTCATCTCCATGTCAGTCTGATGTGATCTGTTATGTGAAAAATAAAAATTAGTTCAGTCTTCAATAAGGTCGGTCTACTTGGAACAGAGCCATGAAGGGCTGGAACTGAAAGAACTTAATCCCCATCAGATAGATACCGGCCAAGAACACAGGACTTGCAGAGTTTAACCTTCAATGCTTTAGAAATGCCTAAAATTCAAAATCACTATAGGATAGTTAGATTGCTGAGTTAAACTGGTCCCTATTTGATTTTATTTAGCCAGTTGAAATAACTCTGACAAGTAATCCTGAGACCAACTTCCTCCAATTCCTCCTGACACAGGAGTCTACTGAGGTATGCGTGTGTGTAAACAGCTACGGTAGTAACAAACTCACATATCTAGGTTCGTCTGGGATTTCAGAGCTGAACTTAAACCAGGTCTATGAGCATTTTAAAAATGACACCAGTGATCCTTGGGAACAGATTATGTTTTAAGCTAACAGCCTCAATTTAAACACCTGAAATATCTTTAATAATTCAGAACTCCCCGCCCCTTCTCAGCACCACCATGACCACTACGCCTGCCCTATTTGAAAGGTAGAGTCAATGATGAAATTTGCTGCTGATTTATCATGATGAATATTCTATTCATTGGAAGACATTCTAAAAAGATAAAGGGAAAAAACCTTCCCCTACACCTTGATGCCGTTCTCAAGGGAGAGCTATAAAACAAAGTTTCATTTCGACCACACATAATGAAATGATATTAACATCAGTAATATGTGCCCGTCTACTCCGATTCACCAGTATCCTTCTTTTTCTCTCATATAAAGGAGCATTAGTGGCCAGGCATGGTGGCTCATGCCTGTAATCCCAGAGCTTTGGGAGGGTGAAGGGGGTGGATCACCTGAGGTCAGGAGTTAGAGACCAGCCTGGCTAACATGGTAAAACCCCATCTCTGCTAAAAAATAGCTGGGCATGAGGATGCATGCCTGTAATCCCAGCTACTCGGGAGGTTGAGGCAGGAGAATCGCTTGGACCCGGGAGGTGGAGTTTGTGGTGAGCCGAGATCGTGCCATTGCACTCCAGCCTGGGCAACAAGAGTGAGAGATTTTGTCTCAAAAAAAAAAAAAAAAGGAGCATTAGCAAAAAAAAGAGATTAATAGAACAAAATCTTTTTGCCTATGCAAAGGCATCATCTTCTGCTCATAATACAATCTTAACATGTCCTGCAAGTTTAACTTGTTCAGCCTATGCACGAACTTCATTAGGAATGTTTATTTTATATTCAAACAGAGTATGTGACACTGTTTGTAAATAAGGCTTGTGTACTAAGGGATATTAAACAATTACTAAAAATATACATAACGTGAGTTTTGTATTAACCACTGTATCTGTATTATAAATAAGTGTAGTGAAGCAAAGGGCATACAAATTTAAAAAATTAATTCTTCTATTGGCTTGCAGTGTGGCAATGCATATTATATGTCTCTGAGTCATTTAGTCATTTGTTATTTAGATATCAAATATCCATCGGGTGAGTAGTTAAAATTAGTAGAACTGTTTCTCAATTAAGAATGATTTTAACACAATAGGATTCCAGTCATTGGTTGATGTGGTTTAAATAATATTATCACACATTCTAAATAGGTAGCCTCAAAATAAAACTCTGAAATAAAAATACGGCTGGGCATGGTGCTCATGCCTATAATCCCAGCACTTTGGGAGGTCAAGGCAAGTGGATCACCTAAGGTCTGGAGTTCGGGACCAGCCTGGCCAACACAGTGAAACCCTGTCTCTATTAAATATACAAAAAAAATGAGCCAGGTATGGTGGTGGGCACCTGTAATCTCACCTACCGGGGAGGCTGAGGCAGGAGAATCCCTTGAACCCAGGAGGCGCAGGTTGCAGTGAGCCAAGGTTGTGGTGAGCTGAGATAGCTCCATTGCACTCCAGCCTGGGCAGCAAAAGCAAAACTCTACCTCAAAAAAAAAAAAAATTAATACTGGAGATCAATGTTATCCCCACTTAGGAATGATCCAGTTCATTCTCTCCATATGAGACTACACATATTGCCATGTTCTCTAAATTAGCCTATTAAAATAGGAATTCAAAGTTTGCCCCAGGCAGAGCGGAAAGGGAGCTGCCCCAGGTGGTCCTCCCCATTCCCCACCGCTGCGACACTCAACGTCTGTGGGCTCGGCTCGTATTCGGCACTCTTCAGGGGTAAGCTGGGCTCCTGGATTCAAACTTCTCTTGTCCTCCTTCCTTCCCTGTCTAAGAAAACATACCTGTTCCGTGGCCTGGTCTCGCAAGGCTGCTTGTCTGAAGTCAGCTAGATAGTATCTGTATTTCCAACAATCTTGACTGCCTTTGTTCACTCAACAAAACCGAGCAACTACGAGGTGCCAAGTATTATTCTAGGTGTTGGGGATAAAGTGGTGAACGGAACAAAACAGTCAAAAATCCACTCCTCAATCTAGTGAAGGAAGAAAGAAATAATAAGCAAGAAGCTGTAATGAGTAGTAAGCATGACCAAATGCTAAATAGAAAAATAAAACATGAGAGGGGAGCCAGAAGCTCTTGGGAGGAAGTGCCAGATTCACACCAAGATTACAACACCGCAGTTGACAGTCAGCAAACAGCTGCATCTCAACACTCTTACATATTTAGAAATATTCCCCCCAAATCACCCTAAATATAAAAACAAAGTTTCTTTTTTTAGTAAAAGGTAGGTAATTATTTCTACTTTTTAATCTAAATTCAAAGTGTTCCATCCTACCCTAAATAAACGAATGAAATCCTAACTGTAGAAATACATTCTTAAATTACTCACTATTCATCAAAACAATACTAATAGGAGGGTGGCCACGAACACAAGATGTTGGGTAGAAAGCACGATACTTTTTAATACTCTTCATAGGGACAGGACAAATCCAAGGCATTACCACCAGGGGAAAAAAAGCTTTTTCAAAGCATACGTACCCTGAGTGACTGACAAAAGCAGAGTTGCAAATACGGTAAATGACAAGATACCATTCCAAAACCACACAGCTTCCCTTTTTATTGATGCTCAAGAAGTGAACTTTAAATGACATTTCATAAGCAAAACACAAATGAAAACACCTAATTTGCATGTATAGTATAGGTAAACATACATGTTATATGGACTTAATCCTCATCTAAATATAAAGAGAACCGTTCTTTGACCTCAAAAATAAATTCAATGTTGGCATTACTGTTTTTTAACTTACAGTGTTTTATATTTAACAGGAAAAATTATGAATAACCAAGTTTGGTGTGGTCATGGATTTCAAGTTAAAGTATAAATAGAATTTTTAAGAAATAATCTGTATAATAAAATAACTTTACTTTTCAACCGCAGTACAGTCATTTCCTTCTATCAGTAAAAATATTCCTTGATTACAAAGCAGCCTTTATTTTGCAAATGTATTTCAGGAAAATAGCTCTATCAGTATTTGAAACACCACACACTATTTTAAAAAGGCAGCAAAGTGGCAGAATTCAGATTTAAAATAGTATATTGCAAAATAGTTCAACATATTATTTCTAAGCACAAGGCGAGCTCCATTCTGAAGGATACTTTTTAATCTTATAAAGCAAACTGTTCCAATATTTCTGTGGTAAAGTCTAAATGCTTACAATAAAAGATAAATCTTTACGCAGACAGGACATAAACATCAATACTTAACCACAATACAAACATTTTATATGATGACATCACACTATTATGAAGCTTAGTTTGTTATCATGTGCCCAAGAAAGAAAATGAAAATACAGTTCTGTAGCTTTATAACAGGCTGAGCTCTGCAACAATTGGAGATATAAAAACAGCAAACACAACACCAGTTCTATGAGTAATAAAACAAAAAAAAAATCCAGATATTATAAACATTTAAGTAAATAACTAATACACCTTTCCTAATACATCTTAACTTGCTCTCTTCTGTTAAATACTTTTTTTAAAAATGTTTCTCATATCCCAGAAGGAAAGGATGGTAAATTCTTCACAAAGAGAAAAGTGCGTTATGTTTTAAAAGTGCTTCGTGTTTATGTGTTACAAACATATCCAATAAGGAAGTTAAGTTTGTGCAAAAAAATTCTAATTATTACTTGAATTCATAAACCTTAATCATGGATTTTTTGTAGTTTATCCAGATGAAGCAGTCAAGCAGCAGAAGAAAAATCTGAGATTGGATATTTTGTACAGAGGAAAGAATACGGGGCCACAAGTGAGGAGACCCACATTCTATTCTTAACTCAGTTAACCAACTGGTTAGTGACCCCAGGTAAGCCAGGCTTCATTTCAGTATTTGGCAATGGGCAAGAAGCAGAGCCGGAGAGCCTCTAAGGCCCCTTCCAACACCAAAGTTATCACGTATCTTTAGATGAGGCATTTATGAAAAGGCAAATAATTTTACCAAAATATATAAAAAATATACTAGCAATCCAGCGACTATTCTCTTATTGGACTTATCAGTAATAAAGCACGGAAAGAAAGAAAAATTCCAAAAATGCTTGACAAATAAAGGTCATGTGAACAATACACGTAACAAAGCTAGAGAAACCCTTCACAATTAGGGTGCTAAGAAAAATCCAATATGATGTGTAAAATTAAAACAGAATAAGCAAAGAAATGTAACAGCTGGTCACCTGATGGCACTTTTTTTCCTGAGTCCCAGAATTTTCTTGGGACCTAAAGCTTTAAATAATACTTATTTTGAAAATTGCTTTAAAAGAATCATGATTCCCCAGAGTTCATATTCATGGCTTTGTAAAGAACTCTCTCTGAATTGTTATAATGATTTTTAAGATAATAACTCTATTTTCAAATTTTAAATATGGCTAAAGTAAACCATTTACCATGGACTCTTTATTTACACCAAATATATATATTCAAGCTTATTTAATATTTTAGAAGCTTAACTCAACAATTCTCATCCACAAGTTTTGACCCATTAATCCCCCGATAGGTCACTCTGCTCGGTCGAACTAAGACTCCGTGGTTCGGCTTACAGGTGAAATAGCGCTTGTCACCCACTGACCCATCATTTTTCCCCTTGGCACTTCGGAGCTCAAGTCCAAGCCAGATACCTGAAGCAAAGTCAGTGGGGCCCACGTACCTAACAGTACCCATCTCATTAGAGCTCGTGAGCAGGACCTGAGACCCCTCGTGCAGCTTCACGCTCCCTTCAATGCTCCCTGCAGTGGGGGTGCTGCTCCAACTGCGACGCAAAGCAGCTTTTGATCTATGCAGAAAGGAAAGGCGGGAAAAACGCTTTAGTGCCAAAGCCACATAACGCAATCATCATATTCATTTCCACTGCCACATTCGGAATTCATTCATTCAGTCCCCAAAAGAGAATACTTTATGGTCACAAGTTGGTTTTTTAATTTTAAATAGCAGTTTTAGAATATACAGTTGACCCATGAACTATACAGGTTTGAAGTGCGTGGGTACGCTTATACCCAGAGTTTCTTCCGCCTCCACCACCCGGGACAGCAAGACCATCCCCTTCTCTTCCTCCTCCTCCTCAGCCTGCACAAAGTGGGGGCAATGAAGATGAAGACTTTTATGATGATCCGCTTCTACTTAAGGAATAGTAAATATATTTTCCTTATAACTTTAACATTCTTTTCTCTAACTTACTTTATTGTAAAAATACGGCATATACTACATGTAACATACAAAATATCTATTAATTAGCTGTTTATAAGTAAGCCTTCCAGTCAACAGGAGGCTATCGGTAGTTAAGTTTTGGGGGGGTCAAAATATACACACTGATTTTCAACTGTGCAAGTGAGCATGCGATGGCACGCCCAACCCCCACATTCATTAATCAAAATTCAACTGGACTTTTAACATTTTAAAAGTTTTTGTCTTTGCTCTATTTTAAGACTACCCTATTCTGGATTTAAGATTTCATTTGCCATTTATATATATATATATATATATATATATATATATATATACACACACACACACACACACATATATATAAAATGTGTGTAGACACACATACGTATATTTACACACACATACATGCTTTCAGTAAAATAGCAATTAGAAAAAAATACTTATACCTATTTAATTTCTATCAGCATTATCAAATAAAGCAAGAAGAAAGAATCTAGTATTTTGGCTGTTTTAATTGCATCAGTATTGTCAAAGGAAAAAGAAAAGAATCTAGTATTTTGACTATAGTAAATTTAGTTTGTTCACTTTAAAAATATTTTTCATATGAGAACAAATTTTTAAACTGTAAGTCCACAGCTTTGGAAATACCTATATACATGTTCTATGTATGAACTCCAGTTATAATTAAAGGTTTAGTAACCCCCACTTCCATGCCGGGCCACTAACACTAAGGAGGGGCTGAGGTGCCTTGAGCAGCTGCCTCTCCTTCTCCCTGCAACATGACATTCCTTCCAATGTGCTGGAAACGTCTCCTAGCACCCACCACCACCATGACCTGATAATAAAGCACGGGACTCCCCGGTGCACTCAGCCAAGGCCTCAGGCCCATACTGCCCCAGAGCTGCCTCCACTGTCCACTGGAAGTAGCTGACATTTACCCACAGTAGAAACATGACAAGGGTCTTGTTGCCCCCTGAGCTGAGACCTTCCAAAATGGCCAGAAAGAAACCACCAAAACTATCTGGAGCTTTCCATCCTCAATCCCATGCCACCTCTCTTCCAAAAGAAACCCCTCCCCTTACCCCACAGTAGCTTCAAAACAGAACCTGTTACTGAAACTACACAGGAGCTTATTGTGAACAGAATCTGGGTCCAAATTATTTCACCTTTTATTTCACTTTCTTTATTTTTAATATGCCATCACATACAATGTCTCATTTGCTCCTATTAACCACCCTGTAAGAAAGGAAGATGACTAATTTTAATGGATAGGAAACTGAGGCTCAAAGATTTATTCTAAGCCACATCTGCCAGTAAGTGACAGAATCCTAATTATAAAATGGTCTTAAATTATTTACATGTCAAATGCACAAATACAATAAATTTAATAAAGAAACATGTAGTACCTGTAAGAAAAAGCATAAATCTTTACTGAAGAACATACACAAAAGAGCTGTTACTAAATAGAAATGTATTTATGTTCACTCTCCCCAAATGGGTATTTTTTAGAACCAGACAAAATTACTGTAATTTTCACATAAATGACAATATCATTTCCTAAACACTTCCTAGGTGTCTAACCACTTCACATACGTTATGTCTTTCAATCTCACCCAAACCAGTGAAGGCGGGATTATTATTTTCTTGTAACAGAAGAATAATCTGAGGCTCAGAAAAATTAAGCTATGTGCCTAAGGTCAGAGAGATGAAAAAGGCAAAGATGAGGCTCAGATCCATGGCTGTACAAGCACAAAGGCCAGGCTCTCTTCACAAACACAATGAGTACTGGTAACTAAGAAAAGGTTGAATAATAATGAGGCAAGGTTTACACTGCCATTAGGTTAAATTATAAAGTTACAATAGTTAAAACAATGTGGCTCTGGCATAAGACTGTAGTTTTAAACAACACAGAAAACATATTTTAGAAAAATGAAAAATACACATAATTATTTTACATGTGATTAAAAAGTAAAACTTCAAATCAGTGATAAAGGAATGAACATTGAATTAGGAGTGTTGTAAAAATTAGCTGAGAGAAAAGGATATGATTCTCACCACTCCTGTATATTAAAACAAACTGCAAATAAAGAGCTTTAATGCATAAACTGAAAATAGAGGCTGGGTGCAGTAGCTCATGCCTATAATCCCAGCACTTTGGGAGGCTGAGGCAGGCAGATCACTTGAGGCCAGGACTTTGAGACCAGCCTGACCAACATGGTGAAACCCTGGATCTACAAAAAATACAAAAATTAGAGGGGCACGGTGGCAGGTTTCTGTAATCCCAGCTATTCAAGAGGCTGAGGCATGAGAATCGCTTCAACTCGGGAGGTAGAGGTTTCAGTGAGCTGAGATAGCACCACTGCTCTCCAGCCTGGGCAACAGAGAAAGACTCTATGAAATAAATAAATAAATATTGAAAAACACACTCACACACATTTATGTAGAGAAAGAGGAAGTATGGGGGAGGGAGTAAGGAAGGGGAGAGTTCAACACATGTTTTAGAAGTCTGGCATCTATTATTAAATTCTGATTTTTTTCATTTATCTTTTTTCATATTTTAAAATTGCCTTTTATTAGTCCAAATGACAACAATACATCTACAGTCTTAAGTAGAGGTATTGTAAATCTCTATAGGTATGTAAATCTCTATAGTAAACAGGTATTTACATCACATTGTAAATCTCTGTTTACTGTGTCCTACCTCTGTCCTGCTACCTAGACTCCTAGAGAATGTAAACAAAAAATATTTCTGTAGGATGTATTATTTTCTCCCTAAAAAATTAAGTTCATTAGCATATACATTTTATATATTTTATTGTATTATATAGTTATATATATAAACATTTTATATATATAAACACACATATATAAATATATATATATATTTTATTGCACTTTAGGTTCTGGGGTACATGTGCAGAACATGCAGGATTGTTGCATAGGTACATACATGGCAATGTGGTTTGCTGCCACCATCCCCATCACCTCTATCTGGCATTTCTTCCCATATTATCCCTCCCCAATTCCCTACCACTCACTGCCCCTTCCCTAGTCCCCCCTCACAACAGACCCCAGTGAGTGATTCTCCCCTGTGTGTCCATGTGTTCTCACTGTTCAACACCCACCTATGAGTGAGAACATGCGGTGTTTGGTTTTCTGTTGTGTCAGTTTGCTGAGAATGATGGTTTCCAGATTCATCCATGTCCCTACAAAGGACACAAACTCATCGTTTTTTATAGCTGCATAGTATTCCACGGTGTATATGTGCCACGTTTTCTCTGTCCAGTCTATCATCAGTGGGCATTTGGGTTGGTTCCAGGTCTTTGCTATTGTAAACAGTGCCACAATGAACATACATGTGCACGTGTCTTTATAACAGAACGATTTATAATCCTTTGGATATATACCCAGTAATGGGATTGCTGGGTCAAATGGAATTTCTATTTCTAGGTCCTTGAGGAATCACCACACTGTCTTCCACAATGGTTGAACTAATTTACATTCCCACCAACAGTGTAAAAGTGTTCCTATTTCTCCACATCCTCTCCAGCATCTGTTGTCTCCAGATTTTTTAATGATCGCCATTCTAACTGGTGTAGTGTGGTGTCCCAATGTAGTTTTGATTTGCGTTTCTCTAATGACCAGTGATGATGAGCTTTTTTTCATATGTTTGTTGGCCTCATATATGTCTTCTTTTGAAAAGTGTCTATTCATATCCTTTGCCCACTTTTGAATGGGCTTGTTTTTTTCTTGTAAATCTGTTTTAGTTCTTTGTAGATTCTGGATATTAGCCCTTTGTCAGATGGGTAGATTGCAAAAACGTAATCCCATTCTGTTAGTTGCCAGTTCACTCTCATTGTTTCTTTTGCTGTGTAGAAGCACTAGAGTTTAATTAGATCCAATCTATTTTGGCTTTTGTTGCCAATGCTTTTGGTGTTTTAGTCATGAAGTCTTTGCCTATGCCTATGTCCTGAATGATATTGCCTAGGTTTTCTTCTAGAGTTTTTATGGTGTTAGGTCTTATGTTTAAGTCTTTAATCCATCTGGAGTGAATTTTAGTGTAAGGTGTCAGGAAGGGGTCCAGTTTCTGCTTTCTGCACATGACTAGCCAGTTTTCCTAACACCATTTGTTAAACAGGGAATCCTTTCCCCATTGCTTCTTTTTGTCAGGTGTGTCAAAGATCAGATGTTATAAATGTGTGGCGTTGCTCCAAGGCCTCTGTTCTGTTCCATTGGTCTACATCTCTGTTCTGGTACCAGTACCCTTCTGTTTTGATTACTGTAGCCATGTAGTATAGTTTGAAGTCAGGTAGTGTGATGCCTCCAGCTTTGTTCTTTTTGCTTAGAATTGACTTGGCTGGCCGGGCACGGTGGCTCAAGCCTGTAATCCCAGCACTTTGGGAGGCCGAGGCAGGTGGATCACGAGGTCAAGAGATCAAGACCATCCTGGTCAACATGGTGAAACCCCGTCTCTACTACAAATACAAAAATTCAGCTGGGCATGGTGGCGTGTGCCTGTAATCCCAGCCACTCAGGAGGCTGAGGCAGGAGAATTGCCTGAACCCAGGAGGCGGAGGTTGCGGTGAGCCGAGATCGCGCCATTGCACTCCA